GTGTTTACTTTAACATACTTTTACAACATTTGTAGGTTTGTGGATAGTAGCAGCACGGCGCCCAATTACTATTGCATCTACTTGTAGTGTGGGAACACGTGATCCTGGCAGCTGGCTGCACTAGTATTTATACTGTATATAGGTCACAGGTAGTGCGGGAGTATTACACATATTCATCACATGCGTTTCCCTATTGCCCTGTTAAAGTGGTGATCTCTAGCAGTCTCATGTAATATGTCCCCAATCTCCAACAACTCCTAGAGCATTTTCACAGTCTCTGACCATCTCCTGTATCACGTCTACAATTTTTGACCATCTCTTGTATCATGTCCGCAGTCTCTGCCCATCTCTTGTATCATGTCCGCAGCCTCTGACCATCTCTTGTACCATGTCCGCAGTCTCTGACCATCTCTTGTACCACGTCCGCAGTCTCTGACCATCTCTTGTACCATGTCCGCAGACTCTGACCATCTCTTGTACCACGTCCGCAGTCTCTGACCATCTCTTGCATCATGTTTGTAGTCTCTGCCTAACTCTTGTACCACGTCCGAAGTCTCTGCCCATCTCTTGTATCATGTCGGCAGTTTCTGCCCATCTCTTGTACCATGTCCGCAGTCTCTGCCCATCTCTGTATCATGTCCACAGTCTCTGCCCATCTCCTGTATCATGTCCGCAGTCTCTGCCCATCTCTTGTATCATGTCCGCAGTCTCTGCCCATCTCTTGTATCATGTCCGCAGTCTCTGCCCATCTCTTGTATCATGTCCGCAGTCTCTGCCCATCTCTTGTATCATGTCCGCAGTCTCTGCCCATCTCTTGTATCATGTCCACAGTCTCTGCCCATCTCTTGTATCATGTCCACAGTCTCTGATCATCTCTTGTATCATGTCCGCAGACTCTGCCCATCTCTTGTATCATGTCCACAGTCTCTGATCATCTCTTGTATCATGTCCGCAGTCTCTGACCATCTCTTGTATCATGTCCGCAGTCTCTGACCATCTCTTGTATCATGTCCGCAGTCTCTGACCATCTCTTGTATCATGTCTGCAGTCTCTGATCATCTCTTGTATCATGTCTGCAGTCTCTGCCCATCTCTTGTATCATGTCCGCAGTCTCTGCCCATCTCTTGTATCATATTTGCAGTCTCTGCCCATCTCTTGTATCATGTCCACAGTCTCTGATCATCTCTTGTATCATGTCCGCAGTCTCTAACCATCTCCTGTATGACTTCCGCAGTCTCTGACCATCTCTTATATCATGTCGGCAGTCTCTCTGACCATCTCTTATATCATGTCCGCAGTCTCTGACCATCTCTTGTATCATGTCCGCAGTCTCTGACCATCTCTTATATCATGTCCGCAGTCTCTGACCATCTCTTGTATCATGTCGGCAGTCTCTGACCATCTCTTATATCATGTCCGCAGTCTCTGACCATCTCTTGTATCATGTCGGCAGTCTCTGACCATCTCTTGTATCATGTCCGCAGTCTCTGACCATCTCTTATATCATGCCCATAGTCTTAGACATATAAGCTTTGCACATAATATACCACTACGTATGGGGTTTTTTTCAGTTTACCTGATTTGATTAACACTGTGTCTATATAATTTGAATTTATCTGCTTTTTTCACATTATCTATTTCATTAATATGGTTAATCAAAAATAGCACTAGGAGTTTTTTAAATTCTATCACCATGGATTCATTTAGATTTAAATTTATTTATTTATTTATTTTTTATATTTATATATTATTATATATCACTATATAATATTGAGGAGCGCGACACATTTAATATTTTACTTAGACTTTGACCCTTTGTGTTTCTGCATCCACACCTGAGCGTCAAGATTTACTGGCGCTTTTACTTGAGAGTTTCTGAGCGTTCTTAGAAGTGTATTACAGGCGTTTTACAGCTTCAGGCATTTTTGTTTAGCCAACAGAAAGCACTCGGTGGAGGAAATAAAGGGGTGGAGAGCTGCTGTTTGGGCAGAAAACACGCAACAAAATGCTCGTAAAACACTCAAGTCACACATTTTCTGGCGTCTCTATTGAAGTCTATGGGGCTAAAAACGCTTGTAATCTGCCAAGAAGAAGCTCATGTACATTTCCAAGTGACTGGTATTTTGCTTCAGGAGACAGAACGTTCATATGTGAACAGGGGCCATTGAAATGAATGGGATTTGGCTTGTTGAGCATTTTAGAGCAGAAAATCGCTCAGGTGTGAATGCAGCCTGAATATTCGCTGAATTTATTTGGATCCCTTTGGTGATGTCGTAGACCGCACTGGAGGTCCTCCATATTAAAAAAGTTGACCATCATTGTTCCAAAGGGTTTACCCGTGGCATGTTTCATTCAGTGACAGAGCAGTCCGGTGCGGTCAGTCCCACTAAGTTTGAGATGCTGTGCCGAAAATGGAGCCATAGATGAGATTTTGTTGGTGGAATCTATTATATCAGGGGTGTCAAACTCTATTTCATCACGGGCTGTATCAGCATTATGGTTGCCCTCAAAGGGCCGGTTGTATCTGTAAGAGTAGATGTCCAGAGCAGCCCACCCCCCCATTACATCAGCTGTCAAGAATCCCACACCTGGGGCGGACTGGAAAATCGAGCACTGCCCGAGGGCCTGGGGTCAGTAGGGGGCCCCATGAGATGCCCCTGGTACCTTTTTCATAGGCTTTTTTGAGTTTAGGCAAGGACACAGGGGCCCTATGATCCCCTATTGCCCGGGGGCCCCATGAGCTGTTAGTCCGCCCCTGTCCCACACCCTCCCTAACATCACTATGCACCCCCTTTGGGGGAGAGCTGAAAAGCAGAAAGTGCAGGGTCTGGAGGAGGACCAGAGGAGGAGTGGAGTCAGTTACCAGAGTCTGTTGAATGCTGAGACCAGGGGAGGCAGAGATGAGGAGGTGCTGCAGATGCACTGGGGGGTGCAGGATTTGGCAGAGGAGTTCTATTCTCCTGTCTGCTGCCGACTGCTGAGACAAGGTGAGGGCAGAGCAGAGGCGGACTGACCATTTAGAAACTCGGGCACTGTCCGAGGGCCCAGGGTCAGTAGGGGGCCCCATGAGATGCTCCTGGTACCTTTTTCATAGGCTTTTTTGAGTTTAGGCAAGGACACAGGGGCCCCATGGCCCCATGATCCCCTATTGCTCGGGGGCCCCATGAGTTGTCAGTCCGCCCCTGGGGCAGAGACAAGGGGGTACCTGCAGGAGAGGTGCAAGGGCCAGCATGCGGGCCTTGTGTTTGACACCTGTGTATTACATTGTCAGGTAGAGGTCGGTCTCTAACACAACCTCAAGGCAGCAGCCTCCCCAGATACACTGCAAGGACATGTTTTCAAAACACAAGAGGAGGAAGCCTCTCAGTGAGTGACAGCATGAAAACCCGAACCCTACACAGCGGCCTTGTTCATTGACAACTGGGTGGTTCTGATATCTGGCTGTGGGTTACAGCCCAATGAAGAGTTTAATTTTTCAATTTCTAAAATAAATTATGTCTTTTATTCAACAGACCCGGTGGGGAACATTACGGTGACCCAGTCGCCCAATGTGGTGAGCGAGAGCAGCAGCTGCTGTAGATCTAAGCTGTAGCGCCTCTAGTGGTTACACTGACTCAGTGACATGGACGAAGGATGGGCAGCCTATAGTGAATACCAGCACTTACAATCTATTGGATGGGAATCAGACTCTCTGGATAATGCAACCCAACAGGACCTTCAGTGGAAACTATAGCTGCAACATATCCAACCCAGTCTACTGGAGTTCGGGGTCCCTCAGCTCCGCGTCTATGGTAAGTTGTAGCATAAAAGTCTGGTTGGTGTCACCAATTAACAGTAAAAAAATATCTCTCAGTGAGTGACAGCATGAAAACCCGAACCCTACACAAGCTAGCGGCCTTGTTCATTGACAACTGGGTGGTTCTGATATCTGGCTGTGGGTTACAGCCCAAGGAAGATTTTATTTTTCAATTTCTAAAATACATTATGTCTTTTATTCAACAGACCCGGTGGGGAATGTTACGGTGACCCAGTCGCCCCATGTGGTGAGCGGGAGCAGCACTGCTGTAAATCTAAGCTGCAGCGCCTCTAGTGGTTACACTGAGGCACTGACATGGACAAAAGATGGGCAGCCTATAGTTAATACCAGCGCTTACAATCTATCGGATGGGAATCAGAATCTCCAGATAATAGCAACCAGCAGGACCTTCAGTGGAAACTATAGCTGCAACATATCCAACGCAGCCTACTGGAGTTTGGGGTCCCTCCAGCTCCATGTCTATGGTAAGTTGTAGCACAAAACCCTGCTCGGTGTCACCGGTGACTCCAACACAGGGGTGGACTGACAACTCATGGGGCCCCCGGACAATAGGGGATCATGGGGCCCTGTGTCCTTGCCCAAACTCAAAAAAGGCTATGAAAAAGGTACCAGGGGCATCTCATGGGGCCCCCTACTGACCCCGGGCCCTCGGGCAGTGCCCGAGTTTCCAAATGGTCAGTCCGCCCCTGCTCCAACATACACATTCTGAACAGTGTGATGTAACCCCCTACACTCTTCTGGGTTTAGTTCTACTTTAACCACTCGCCCTCCAGAGGATTTACTGACCAGGCCATTTTTTGCGATACGGCACTGCGTTACTGACAATTGCGCACTCATGCAATGCTGCACCCAAATAAAACGTACATCCTTTTTCTCCCCAGAAATAGAGCTTTCTTTCGGTGGTATTTGGTCTTTTGTGTGCTATAAATAATATAAAAAAAAAAAAAAAGACAATTTTGAGAAAAAAAAAAACCAGTATTTTTGACTTTTTGCTATAAAACGTCCAGTAAAAAAAAAAAATTAAAAATCAAATTTCGGTGTAAATTTAGGCCAAAATGTATTCTGCGACATGTCTGCTAAAAAAAAATCCCAACACATGTAAATTAATTGGTTTGCATGAAAGTTATTGCATCTACAAATGGGGGTATATATATACTGGGATTTTTTTTTTATTTTTTTTATTAGTAATGGCAAGACTGCGGCGGGCATTCTGACACTGGGGCGGAACTGACTTGGTGTCACTGACATCCCCAGTGACACCAATTCAGTGATCAGTGCTAATAAAAAGCACTGACACTATACTAATGGCACTGGGCAGTAAGGGGTTAACACCTGAGGCCATCAAAGGGTTAACTGTGTGCTGTTTTACATACTGGGCTGTGTGTGTGCTTCACTGTAAGCACACTGCCAGGGGCGGACTGACAACTCATGGGGCCCCCGGGCAATAGGGGATCATGGGGCCCCTGTGCCCTTGCCCAAACTCAAAAAAGCCTATGAAAAAGGTACCAGGGGCATCTCATGAGGGCCCCCTACTGACCCTGGGCCCTCGGGCAGTGTCCGAGTTTCCAAATGGTCAGTTCGCCCCTGCACACTGCTTTGTATGGCTCTGCTATGCAGGAGCGGACAGGGAAGAGATCTGTGTTGTCTATACACAGGTCTCTCCCCCGTCGAAGAAACTCGGTGATCCCCGGGTGCCGGTGAGAAATCACTGGCTGGGACCCAGTGATTGACAGCTGAGGTCGCGAATGGCAGCGCGGTTAGGGGCGCACATGCCCCCTATCCGGAACTGCAAAATCACATACATACATATGTCCCGTTATATAAAAACAAAAAAAAAACACCCCAAGTAGTATTTTTTTTTTCAAACCACACATCTAGAATACCTAACATTTCTAAATGAAGCTAGAACTCAGTTATCCAACTTGATTGAATGAATAATTCTCTTCTCTTACCCATATAGATGCCACAATCAGGGCCACCAGCACCTATAGCATGGTGATGATTACTCTACTGGGAGGAATTCTGCTTGGCCAGTGATGGTCTGTCTGGAAATAGCCTATGATGGCAGACAGGTAACCATATCTCCATGTTGCAACCCTTAAAGGCCGAGACCTCCCACAAGTAAAAACAGCTTTTGGGTTCAGGCTAGTGGATGGGGTTCCCCTCTGGCGTTCTCGGTTATCTCTTCATGACTGCACTGGATATATTTTACAACCAAGTTTTTAGTTCTCGTTTTTTATGGTGGTTCAAGGGTGTCCGACAAATCCTACTGTATTCTCCATGATGCTAAAAATTCTATGATGGGAATGCTTAACCCTGGCAATGGCTGAAGCGGGTAAGTGGAGCAGGTAAAACGCCAAGTCCCTTAGAATCCACAGGGTGATGGATTTTACAGAACATATATTGAACTGTGAATGTTTTAAAGCTTGGTAAATTTTTGTTTGTTTTCCTAGAACCTTTTTTTATTGAATTATTCACCACCAACGAACTATAGGATGGAGCACATTCACTTCTGTGTCCACCCTAGAGAGGTTTGCATTCTCGCTTCTCGAACAATACATAGACTGTTCATATTAGTCTCCACCCTTGAGGAGCTTGCATTTTCATTTTCTTGTGGCAGTACAGGAACCATTCATATCAGTCTCGCCCTTGAGGAGCTTGCATTTTCATTTTTTGTCACAGTACAGGGACCATTCATATCAGTCTCACCCTTGAGGAGCTTGCATTTTCATTTTTTGTCACAGTACAGGGACCATTCATATCAGTCTCACCCTTGAGGAGCCTGCATTTTCATTTTCTTGTGGCAGTACAGGAACCATTCATATCAGTCTCACCCTTGAGGAGCCTGCATTTTCAATTTTCTTGTGGCAGTACAGGGACCATTCATATCAGTCTCACCCTTGAGGAGCCTGCATTTTAATTTTTGTGACAGTACAGGGACCATTCATATCAGTCTCACCCTTGAGGAGCTTGCATTTTAATTTCCTTGTAAAGGCACAGAGACTAATCATATCAGTCTTCACCCCTGAAGAGCTTGCATTCTCATTTCCCTGTGATAATACGGAGAGTATTCATATCAGTCTCCACTCCTGAGGAGCTTGTATTTTCATTTCCCTGAGATACTACAAACAATACATAGCAGTCTCCACCCCTGAGGATCTTGCATTCTCATTTCCTTGAGAGAATACAGAGAGTATTCATAGCATTCTCCATCCCTTTTCCTTGAGATAGTACAGAGAAGTACAGAGAGCATTCATCAATCTCCACCCCTGAGGAGCTTGCATTTTAAATTTCCCTGTGATACTACAGACTATTCATATCAATCTCCACCCCTGAGGTGCTTGCATTCTCATTTCCTTGAGATAGTACAGAGAAGTACAGAGAGCATTCATCAATCTTCACCTCTGAGGAGCTTGTATTTTAAATTTCCCTGTAATACTACAGACTATTCATATCAGTCTCCACCCCTGAGGATCTTGTATTCTCATTTCCTTGAGAGAATACAGAGAGTATTCATATCAGTCTCCACCCCTGAGGCTCTTGCATTCTCATTTCCTTGAGATAGTACAGAGAGCATTCATCAATCTTCACCCCTGAGGAGCTTGCATTTTCAATTTCCCTGTGATACTACAGACTATTCATATTAGTCTCCACCCCTGAGGATCTTGCATTCTCATTTCCTTGAAATAATACAGAGAGTATTCATATCAGTCTCCACCCCTGAGGTGCTTGCATTCTCATTTTCTTGAGATAGTACAGAGAAGTACAGAGAGCATTCATCAATCTCCACCCCTAAAGGGGCTTGCATTTTCATTTCCTTTTGAAAGTACACACGCCATTCATATCAATCTCCATTCCTGAGGAGCTTTCATACTTACTTCCTCGTGACAGTACATAGACCATTCACATCAGTCTCCACCCCCTAGGAGCTTGCAATTTCATTTTCCTGCGACAGTATGGAAAGCTTGCATTTTGTGACAATCATACAAACACACAACAACTCTGACTAACCTGCAGGTGTGTTATAGGATGGAATTAAAAAGAAAAAAAATATAGACATATCCATACAATCTTTTTGGTAAATACATTTTTTTCTTAATATATAGGTTTCTGGAAAAACCTCCTGTGCGCTGCATAAACCAGAGAAGAGGGCTCCTACCCGGCAATGCTGTCCTGATTGCCACTACTTCCGTCCTGAGCCTCTATCAGCTACCACCTGCACATGTCTCGGTGTGTCCAATCCTTGAAATGATGATGTTACCTCCAGTCAGTCCATTTACCCGCCCCTTACCTGACATCTTTACAACAACTCAGTCCTCCTGCCTCTGTGTGAATGTATTCCATTTCATCTGGTCACCTTCTCAATATATGGATTTTATCTGATGTTTTTAAATTACTTGGAATAAAAGTTAATATTTTATTATATATTTTAAGGTGTTTTTCGATTTTTGTTGCACTATAAAGTCCCCATCTCCAGAGGATACCATTCTGATTAATAATGGGTGACTGTGCGGGAAAGAAAAAGGTTTTGACAAAGAGTTACAATGAGGCAATTGCTGATGCGCGACGTTCCCCCACTACTCCCAGAAATGGTGACAACTTTCAGTTATGTATTCATTAAAATAAAAAAACAAAAACAAAAAAAAAACACAAAATTATGTAAAAATTAAAATGCCACCTTGTGCAGCAAAACATGTTATATTCATTTAACACATTTGGTAGTTTTAAAATATTAAACGTTCATGATTCCATTCCAATTTGCAGGGTCTGTAATTTTCTAAAATCAAAATTGACAAAAAGGAAAAATGTGGAAATGTGGATTTCTAAAATCAAAATTGAAAAAAGGAAAAATGTGGAAATGTTGATTTCTAAAATCAAAATTGATAAAAAGGAAAAATGTGGAAATGCTGATTTCTAAAATCAAAATTGACAAAAAAGGAAAATGTGGAAATGTTGATTTCTAAAATCAAAATTGACAAAAAGGAAAATGTGGAAATGTTGATTTATAAAATCAAAATTGACAAAAAAGGAAAAATGTGGAAATTTTGATTTCTAAAATAAAAATTGACAAAAAAGGAAAATGTGGAAATGTGGATTTCTAAATTCAAAATTGACAAAAAGGAAAAATGTGGAGATGTTGATTTCTAAACTAAAAATTGAAAAAAGGAAAAATGTGGAAATGTTGCTTCCCGTCAATATATCAGTCTGGAGGGGGACTTTGCCCAAGAACTTCATTATACCACTCAACCTCCTTGGTATAGAGACCAACATACAGTGGATATAAAAAGTCTACACACCCCTGTTAAAATGTCAAAATGGAAACATTCCAATAAATATAGTAAAGGTATAAAAAGGGAAAAAAGAGGAGGATTCCTACTTGGGATGCTTTTAGAATAGAATAGATCAGGGCTTTTTTTCAGCAGGAACGTGGGGAAATGCAGTTCTGGCACCTCCAGCACTGAATGTATGTCATGGCAAGGTGCTGGAGGGCCTATTGATGCTGGCTGCTAGGGGATCTATTGTCACTAATAGGAACCTATTTTTGCATGGGGGTCTATTGTTGCTGGGGGGAGGTTCTTATGTTGCTGGGAGGGATCTCCCGTTGAGGGAGGAGTATTGTTACTGGCTGCTGGAGGGCCTGTTTTGCTGGCTGCTAGGGGATCTATTGTCACTAATAGGAATCTATTTTTTCATGGGGGCCTATTGTTACTGGGGGGGATCTACGAGGTTCTATTGTTGCTGGGGGGGGAGGTTCTTATGTTGCTGGGAGGGATCTCCTGTTGAGGGAGGAGTATTGTTGCTGGCTGCTGGAGGGCCTATTGATGCTGGCTGCTAGGGGATCTATTGTCACTAATAGGAATCTATTTTTGCATGGGGGTCTATTGTTGCTGGGGGAGGTTCTTATGTTGCTGGGAGGGATCTCCTGTTGAGGGAGAGGAGTATTGTTGCTGGCTGCTGAAGGGCCTATTGATGCTGGCTGCTGGGAGATCTGTTGTTGCTGTTGGGGGTCTATAATTACTGGTGAAGAATTTTGTTGTGGGGGATCCATTGTTGCTGGGGGGGTCTATTGTATGGGGAGGATCAATTGTTGCTGGCTACAGGGGATCTACTGTATGTTACCGCTTTTCTTGTTATCATTAACACATTACATACAAAGTACTTTGTACCACAAAATTATACTTGGTTCTGTATTCTCTAAAAGGGTGGTACTGGGGGTGAGTAGGCGGTGGAACCAAGGGATGTTGGTTGGAGGTGGGTAGGGGGCGGAGACAAGGGGGTGACTCAGAAGGGGGGACCTATTTTTTTATGGGCATGAATGAATGTGAATTAGGAACCTTAGATTGTACACCCCTTGAGGGTTAGGGACTGATGTGAATGTACAATATATATGTAAAGTGTGGTGTAAATTGACGGTGCTATATAAGTACCTGAAATAAACTTTTTGCACCTATTCTGATAAAAAGCCTGGAGTAGATTAAAACAGAATAGAAATACAAAAGAATAGAACAGAATAAAAAATAAAAGGAATATTATAAATCAGAATAAATGAAAAACAGAACTAAACATAGAAAATGAAAGAATAGAATAGAAAATGCAATAGAAAAGAATAGAATAGAATAAAATAGAACAAATATAGTCTTTCAAAATACCGAATACACAAAACGAATCCAAATACATGAAACAAGTTCCGCTAACAAATCATTCTAACATAACAAATAGGATGAAACGAATTTATTAAACTAATCCGAAACAA